CGCCGGCCTCCCGCCCGCCCCGCTCCCCCCTTCGTCCTCCTCCCTCTCGGCTCCCCCTCAGAGGCACAGGCGCACAGAGGGCAAAACTCAAGGCAAGGTTGTGGCTAACTCCTGGCGGTTACCTGAACGTCTGCCCGTGAGAAACTACCGGAGCAGCAGGACCGAAAGCTCTCGCCAGTGCCTGGGAGACATCTGTTTCGCATTAGCGAGCGTATAGCTGGAATTATTTAGGCACAGAATGGTCCAGCCACTCACGCAGCAGAGCTAAGGGCATAGCGCTGAGGCCATGACGAAAGCTAGCCGAGAGAAGCAGCAGCAGCCAGCAATTGTGTACTGGGGACAGGGGATGGGAGCAACACAATGTCAGGCTGATCCCCACCAGGGCTGGGCGACCTGGGGCAACCCATAAAACGACAGCCTTAAAATTGTAACTATAACATTTTGCGACGTCATAAAGGAGCTAGGAGAGGGAAACATGACTGGTTTGATATAACACCAAAACTTATCGAGTGCTCCAAAGTTTCAGTAGCTCTTTTAGAGAAGCAATATGGGAATTAAGGAAGCGAAGTCCAGTAGTGAGAGCACGGGGCTGGCAGCCAACACTCACGCTCTCCTTTTGGCTCTGCTGCTCACTCGCTGTGTGGCCTAACCCAAGCCATTTAATCTCTGTGTGCAATCTCTACAATGGTATAATAGTCTTTTACAGACACATTGTAAGGCTCAAATAACTAGCATTTGGTAATGTACTTTGTGTTGAAAGGTGTTAAGTAAGTATAAAGTATCATCGCTAGTTATATTACTATATGTATACCCAGCCTGTCCAAAACTGCTGCTTGCAGCGCAGCTGCAGGTATTCCTTTACATGATTATACACGAAACTTTGACACATCATTTGTCTTTGCAGATCTAGATGTTGGATGATTCGTTTAATCCAATTTTCTTTCTTCTGAAATGAAGCGCATATTTGTTTATGTTAATGTCAAGAACTGTCCTGCCATTGTTTGAATACAGCAGGAAGAATTCTCAGCTCCTTTGAATTGCCGCAGGTCCTTTGATTTCATCTGAGCTGCAGTAAGTTATCAAAGGGAAGACTCCAGCTTAACATCTCAGGAAGTTCAGAGGGAACATTTTACCAGTTAGTCACGTTTTAGATTGCTGTAATTATTTCCTAATACTAGACCTGTGCCTGTTATGACATAGGACTCTACCAGAACAGCTAGGGTGTACAAGCAAATGTTGTAAAGCATCCATAACGTTCACAGCTATAAAATTGAGCTGTACTTCCCTAAGAACAGGCCAGTTTATGAGATTATTTTTATTTCCATTGCTTGTGGCTATTGCCTAATTATTTGTTTCCATGTCTAACAGGCAGCCCATGTAACTACTCATCTAAATGTAGAAAAAAAGGTTATGAGCAATGCTAACAAGCACAATAGCAACAAGTATACTGTGAAGATGAAAGGCTTTAGGGCATGACAGTGCCTTGATCCAAACCTCTTGTACTGGTAAGTTCTCAAATAAGAAGGAGTGGCAAACAGTGAAAGAGCAATAGTAACTCTCAAGCTTGACAACTAAGGTCCTTAGACAGTCACATATCTGTGTGCCTTCAGTTTTCTTCTGAAAGAAATGAGTGAATGACCTGACATGCAGTGAAAATTAGCAAGCAAGACCAATGAAGACACATTAGAGTCCTCATGAAGGTCCATGCCAAGGAGGGGAATGGATAAAATGAGAAAGAACAAAGAAAAGCAGCGTTGAAGATGTCTGCAAGCTTGTAAGGAGAAAAATGAAAAGTGGATGGAATCATCTGCAATATACACAAGAAGAACTATTTCCCGACTCGTCAGCCCACTCAGAAAAGACAAAGAGAGAACAATCAGACCAGTGACAAAAGGCGATTACAGGCCAGAGAAAGACATTAGTGAGACCGTGGAATGAGTCAAAATATCTGTAAACCTAATTAAGAACAGAATGTGCCAGCTGAGGCAGCCACAACACGGTTACTGAGCAGCCTGGAAAAAAAAAAAAAAAAGGCAATAATTCTTGTACTTAATGTCGGCAAATGTTACCAATGAAGAAAGTTATACAATCAAGAATGAGAAAGAATGTAGAAGAAATGAAGAAAGAAAAATAACTCAGTTTATCTTCTGAAAGACTCTCTCTGTTCTAGGAAATGGACTATATTTTAAGGTTTGACTAGAAAATATCTACTTTTTCACAGAAACAGTGTTCATGCATAGGGAAAAAACAGAAATGTAAATAAAATATACATTAGCTTAAAATCTATATTTTATCAGGGAGATAGCCTGTACGGAGGCATGGGTCAAAAAGAACAGGATATAAGTTTACGAAATACACCACCTTTGTCTTCATTGAACAATAAAAGTGATGACTCACAACACTCTTGGATTTTCTGCAGTGTATTCCTTGGATTAAAAATAAAAATTCTGATCTTCTAATCATCCATTACTCAACAAAGTAACATAAACTTTATCATTTTGACTGACATTTATTTTAGTAAATGAATTATGACTGTATAGAAGCTGAACTGTCATCATTTAACAATAGTGTATTTTCACCAAATTAATTTTGTGCTGGTTGATAACATTAGACAATTAAGCTTGAAACAGTTAGTATAATTCTTTTTTTTTTCTCATCTACCTTAGAAATATCTGCCTGGGATTCCAGATACTTTTGATATTATAAATTTAATGCCAAACAATTCATTCATAGTATTAAAACCCAAAGTGCATATTTTTTTCCTGCTCTGTATCTCCAAAGATAGTAAAGATCAAAAAGTCACATACATTCAAGTCTATGCCTTGCATTTTTGGCATTTCATCATACTGATATCCATCCTACAGACAATGAAGCATTGAGAAGCTGAGTAGCACGCCTATAGTTACTCGAGAATCGTGTGGAGAGCGGTACCTTGACCTGAGCTCTGCCAAGTCCTAGACTAGAGATCTGCTTTACCTCTGGGTCATCTTGGGAAAGAAGGTAAGTTTCCCACTGTATTTCAAGAGAAAAAAAAAACGGCTTTTTTAGCACAGGTGAAATGAGAATAGAAAATGTAAATTCCTCACTCAAGAATGCTTTGATGTTATCTACTGCTTTCTGGCAGTATGGTGACAGAAATCCTATCAACTACAGCAGTGTCATAGCTGGAGTCTCAAATCACAAGCCAATCAGACCCATAGTGGTAGTTTTCAGTTTAAGATTGTAACAGCTGACTATAAATGACCAAAGCCCTATCTAAGCTCCTCAAAAAGAAATGGCAACTGAGGAACAGTGGAGCCTAGAAACAATTGCAGCTCACCAAGGTAGATTTTGAGTTACCAGACATAGACTTCTAGTTTCATTTAAGATGCCCAGGTATTTGAGATGTCTGTTTCACAGATGTGACGTAAGACTTAAGAAGATCTGTGCCTTTTTGAAGTACAGCAGGTGACCAGGTGAGGACATCTCAAGTTGCATCAGACACCAACCCTGGCAGGTTGCTTGAATAACTCTTTCAAGATCAGTGACTGTATTTACCATATCTCTGTTGACTACACTGGGGGCTTAAGCACTCAGCTGATATATAGACACCGCTTTTGGTGTCTTCATCTTGAACTGAATCCTATCCAATACATCAGCATGTACTAGATCCAAATTCCACCCAGAAATCAAAGCTTTAAACAAAGAAAATAGAACAAGTACAATATGGACAACCATATTCTCAGTATTAAACATTTTCCCTGAATTTGCAAACAAATTTAAAATATAACTTCCCTCAAGCACAAACATTAATATTCTTAATATACTGTGGAGCCAATGGCACAGGATTGGGTGGCAACAGTAACAAAATTGGCATATGGAAGGCTCGTGAAACAATTTGCTCAGGTTTATCTATTGTTTCTGGAAGTATATCAACGGTCTAGAAAAGAATTAGTAGAAAATGAGGAACAATTATTTATAATGGGAGGAAATGCTAATTACATGTAGCAAGAACTCTGCTTTGCCAAGGAATTATTGCTGAGTAGAGTGGATACTAAAGAGCTGTGCCAGGCATAACATAACATTTCTTCGAAATGAGGTAATTAGCACACTTTGAGGCACTGATAAAATCAGTATTCTTCTTACTAATACATCAGGAGAAACCACTGGCCATACAGAAGCGAAGCAGAAGGGTTAAGAATTTACTAGGCTAAGTGTACTTGTCACATTAAGCACACATTTTCCAGACTTTCTTTTGGTTATTGTGTCACATTTCACTACTCTGGGCATTGCTATGATGTTCTTTTAGGAATCTTATCGTAACCAGCATAATGAAAACAGATGAATGCATCAGTGCTTAACTTCTTTGGATAGATAAATTATAAAATAAATTCTCCCTAACCATCAGTGTAGTGTCTGCAGGGCTTGTCTTGTGGGCTCGTCGTGACCAAACCTAAGCATTTTTTTTGTGTTCTGTCATAGGTCTTTGATAATGTAGTCCCTTTATATGGTGTTTTAAGCATCTTTATAATTGAAAATGCAGTTGAAAAATCCAGTGTATACCAATACTAAAAAAGGTAACATTTCTCATTCCAAGTGCAGAAGTTC